CACATGGGAATGCTTACCCTAAAATAAAACAAGTAATACAACTTACCATTATAAAATTGATTCCACAAGGAATTAACTATTGCTCAGAAGGACAATTTCTTTAATGCACATTTTTGTTATATTTGAATATTTTGACACTTGGCTTTATTTCCTCTAATTGATCTTGAAGCAACCAAAGTCTGCTTTCTGCTAAAACTTAGAGTCCTAACTGTTTGCCAAATGCCCTTATAAATTAAATAGTGGCTACCGCCACACAGTGTTGTACTATTTTACCATGAAGTATCTCCAGATCAAAGTTTATTTATTTTTTTAGTTTGAAAAACATGGTTGTTGAAGCTATCATTCAAGACTGAGTCTTAAAAAGAAATTCTTAATATCGTGTTGCTGCCATGGCTACTTATGAGAAACATAAGTCTGTGTAAAATGTTATCTAGATTTAAAAAAACCCTAGCAGTTTATTTTTTAAGTTTTATAGTGGCAGGAACTATTATTAAATAGGGTTATTGTTCATTCTGCATGCCACTTACAATTTTATGATTTTGTAGGTAATTTGTTGAAATTCCCACAATATGCCAATTATATTCTTAGCTGACTGTTAGCACATGCTCTCTATTCTCTTCTCGTGTGATATTTCATTTCTTTCGATCATGGAGATTCTTGGTATCTTGACAAGGTCACAGAACAAGAGAACAATTAGTTTTATATGAGAGGGCTACAAGTTCCCATTTTAAAATGTCCCTCATTTTATATTTTGATTTATAGCCCAGTGATCTATTATCAAATGTTCCTTGATGGTTCTAGCTTTGGTCATGGATATGCTCTCAATGGCTATTTAAAATCTTGATTCTTGCTTTGTTTTAGGATTTTTGAATTTAGGGACCAACAGTGGTATGGCTTGTTTTTCAGTGCTAGCATTATGGCTTGCTGCTCAGTGTTAGTACAGGCTGGAGAAGACAAGCACATAGCACTCTTGAAAACAAAACATGGTTACTTGGTATAAGCAGTTACATTTCAGCTTCTGCCAAAAGTGTTCACTTGGGACCAGACACACACAAATAATAATAATTTGTAAATACTAAATAAATATATTTTAAGAAGGAAGCTATACCCCATTGGGTGGACATGGAGGTGCTATGGTGTTTCCATATTTCTTTTTTTCTCAATTCATACTCAGATATATTGATTATTATTTACCCAAGATGAGATTGCTGTGCATGGTACCTTTACATTTTCCCTTTGAGTTTGTAGGCTTGCATTAGTCTCAATATCTAAGAAACTAAAACAAGCACAAGGCAATATTTAATTTCTACATTTATTAACTGTAGTTGTAGCCATGTTTCATGCATCTGCCTACACAAGTATTGCATGAATTTAGCACCTTTTCAGTGTCCTAGAAATTCAGGGAGTGTCTTGAGGTTGAGATACAAACAAGTGCATATTGATTAAGCTATATGTGTGGCTAATGAATCTTTTTCTAAAGGGAACTCAAATGAGCAAAATTTCCATTCAATAATTTAAACAAAATTCCCATATGATATTAGTAGGAAAGTTAAACTATGCACCTCCATTGGACAGTGCCATTTCAGATATAGTTTTCTTGTCAACCCTAGACATACTTTATGATATCAGAACTCAATTCTAATGTTTATTTAAGGGTCCAATTTCCCACAAGTGTCTGTGCCATGGTGAATATACCTTACCTTCTTTTCCCTTTGAGTGTTGTTATCTTTGCCTTCAAAACAAATTTACTTATGCCATCTGCTGTTTACTTTACTTTCCTTCATGAGCAGAAATGCCCTCCTGTGTGGCAAATGAATTCCCAAGCCTGGAAAGGACAATTCTCCTGGATTAACATCCCTGCTGAGGTGTTGGCAGATAATCTTATTTTATGTGACTAGGTAGCAATGTGGACCAAGCAAGATAGTGCTTCCTTCTAAAAATGAATATATTTAGCAAAATGATGTGTCATGAGTTCTCTCGGGTGACAATCAACTTTGAAGCATGGCCTTATTTTGGAAAACCTTGAGTTGTTTGTTTTGCCTGCTATAAGTACCCTTTCTGTCAATCTTTTTGATAGATATTGATTTAATTTTTCATTCTAAATTAGCAAGTGGTTTTCGTGCAAAATTTAAAAAATACAGAAAAACTAAAGAAAAACCATTTCTAGTCTCACCAAATATCAAGTTTATCACCAAATACCAACTAACTAGTATCACAAATATCAAAAAGCAAATATTACTACCAGTTATCATCTGTAGTGTGTTTCACATAGTTTTAAGCAAGTCATTGACATTTCTTAAATTAAAGCATAAATTCTGATGTTAAACTTTTTTTACATCCTTTCTATTTTTGAGAAATAGAGGCTAACTCTATAGAACTCATGGTAGTCCTTTTACTTCAGTTTCTGAAGTGTTAGGATTGTATAAGTGAATCATCATGCCCTGTTCCCACTCTCTTTGCAATGTATGTACAATACAGTAATAGTGGAACCAGGATTTATTTAGTCTTTTCCACTACAAATAATATTTAAGATATAGAGTTTAAAAGTTTAAAATCAATGGAAAAGAATTTTTACATATTCTAAATCCAATATAGGTAAGTATTTAAATTATTTATAAAAGAAAAGCTATTATGCTTGCATTATGTATTTAGCTAAAATAATGTAATCATTTTATAAAACCTGTGGGGTTTTTAATGTAAACCTTTCAATGATATCATTGATATTATTTTAACGAGTTTCCCTAAGTAATAAAGTTAATGTATCCTTTTTGTAAGGTAGTTACATAGGATCCAATCCTAGACACAGAATTACAGGCAATCAAGAATGCTGACAGCAGGATAAATAGTCTTCTTTGGGGAAGAAGACTTCTCCAATTGGAAAAGACCTCCAATTTGGGGTCATCCCCAAATCATATACATATAAGTAACATGATGTGAATTGATTTGGTTATATTTCTACATTTAGGAATATATAGATAATCCAATTATGGTACAAAAAAATTGAAAGAGAGAGTTAGGTAGGTACATGGGAGGGGTTGAAAAAAGGAAAATAAAAGAGGAAATGATTTTATATTTTTAAACATTTAAGAACAATTTAAAATGGCATAGGTTAATATATTTTAGATAAATAAGTATTTGAAGAAACCTTGAGTGCAGCATGACTATAGAGTCTATGTCAACAGGTGTCCTTTAGATGGCAGAGAATGGAGGCAGCCTAGATGCCTGTTTGATAATAAATAGATAATGAAAATGTGTTGCATATACAAAATGGAAGGTTGCTTGTCCATAAGTATAGGGTAACCTGTAGCCATGCCTGCTTACGAGCTGGCTACAGGTCTGCCTGACCACGCCTGCAAGAGTGAGAGGCAGTCAGTGGCTGGTCACTTTTGGCTTGCTGTACAGACTGCTGCCGCACAGTCTGGCTAGGTCGCTCTGTAAGTAAGGCTTTTCCCTATTAAATACCCTTGTATTTCTACCTGGATCCATATTGGTAATTTCCCACATTATATAAGGAAAAAGCAAATTATCAAACTTACAGAGAAATGGATGGATTTAGAAATATTACTGTGGGTGGGTTAACAAAAACTCTGATTCCGATGTACAAACAACACATGCTCTCCCCAACCTCCCACTCTCAGATCCTAGCTTTGAGTTTTCAGTACTGTATATTTAACATGGAGTTTCTGCACAAGATAGAAAGCTAGGAAGAGAATAGCAGGCAGTATTACCTTAAGGAAATAGGGATAGTAGATAAAAGAGAATAAAGAGAGGGAATACAGTTTATGAAAATGTTTAGGCAGTGAAAGAGTTGAGGATATAGGGCTCAGAATAGGGAGAGGAGTAACTGGGACAAAGAGGTTATAAGGAAGACATTTGGAAAGTAAGATGTTCCCCCTTGTACAATGGTGGCTGGACTGCCATGGACTAATTGACTGCCAAACAAATAGATTCAAAACCAACATCATGGGAAGTGGGGTTACCAATGCCTGGTACTTCCTGTCTGAATAACAACTTGAGGGAAATAGGAGGCTGAGACATGATGATGCTCATCAGTTAAGTTGGCATAGGTTGAAACTTTCTACTACATATGTCTTCTCTCACAAAAGACACAAGCATCTCCCTGCCTTAATCAGAGAGACCAACTGTTATAATGAACTGTGGCAAATACAGAGGCATGGCTGTTTAAGATGTAAAAAATATGGACCCATCCCTAACTAAACAAGTCATTTATAGCACTCCCTCTAATGCTCAGAAAACACCATGGAAGAGGAAGGTATGTAAGAAATGGAAGGAAGGACACCATTAGCTATACTTCAAACAAATACTGTAATCATTAACGCATATCAACTGTAGTTACCTGATCTGGGCCCACAAAGACTAGCTCTTGAACTTACCAATGCGGGAAAGGAGAAGAAAGAATTCACAAGCCTGAAATGTTTACCTTGGAATTTGGGGGCATTATTACTAGATTATGATGGATGAAATGTCCCTGTCTTTAGTTGTGTACCCTCTCCTAAGCCTACCAGGCTTCGATGCATAAGCCCAAACTCACATTCACACTGGTTAATATTGGTGGGTTAAAAAAAATAAACAGACATAAACATGCAAGAAAGATTTGTGGGGACAATAAATGACTACAGCCATTGTCAGTATTTTTCAGACCATAAATGGATTCAGTGAAGAATATGGGCAAAGGGCATGTACAGATCATGGCTAGAGCATGAATGTTCTGTTTAGTTTCTTGAAGCAAGAACACATGGATTTCAAATGACTTGAAAATGAAGAGTAAATGGAGTGCTTTAGTCACTTAATTACACCAATCTTAAGACAAAAATTGTGAACAGAAATACCAAAATGCTTTGAAAGATAATCACAGATCCATTATGTATTATTGCATTGTGGTTATGAAGTTCTGAGCCTGAGGCCATCTTGGATCTTTTGTACTTCAGTGCTAGTAAATAGTGGGTGTTGATACAGTTTTAGCAATTTGTGTGCATAAGATGTGTCCACCTAGGAGTAAGTCATTAAGTCACTTTAATTAAGGTAAGAAATTTGAAAAGCATGATATTTCAAAGGAAGTTGGTACTCAAGGTACAGAGTTAACTCCAGGAATCACCAGTCCAGGCAGAAGACCTGCCACCGAACAACATCTGTAGCCTTCTTTATACTTCCTAAAAAAAATTTTGAAAGATCATCTCAACATATTGTCCTGGTTGTCTTTGAACTTACTATCACCTTTGTTAACCTATTCAGTTGCTAAGACTTCATACTTTGACATTAGGTCTGGCTAAAATGAAAGAAATTTTATTTCAATGAATCAAAAGAAAAATACCCAAGTGATCTGTGCATACTAAAGAATATAATGAACAGAACTACTGACTTAAGAATACAATACACACTTTGACTATGTTTCACTAATTATTTGTGTGACCTTAAGCAATTCATTTAGCTACCACTTAGCTTCCTCTACCATGGGATTGGAAAACCGAAAATATCTCTTCCATTGTTATGGCAGTCAAAATGAGATGATGTGTGCTATGTACCTGGACACAGCACTAAACTGTGTTTGTTGTCTGTATTGTTGTTTGTTTCTTCTAGGAAGGCAACATTCCTCACCTCCTTGTCAATTATGACTACAACCTACTAAAGTGGGAAAAGTGGGAAGTTTAAATCTCAAGCTTCTAGAGCCTTCTTTATTTGATGACCAGCTCAATAAACTCTGGGGATCTAGAAATCTCCATCTTTTTGCCTATCCATTTTTCCAGATTTCACAAGTGCACAAGATGGAGAGAGTGAGGCTGAATTAATGCCAGATGAGTTTGAAGAGAGAGCAGAACAGGAAAAGAAACACTCAAACTTCACCTTGTGCAGCGTGTGCAACATTCAGCTGAATTCGGCCGCTCAAGCACAAATTCACTACAATGGCAAATCTCACCAAAAGAGACTGAAACAACTCACCAATGGAACACTCAAGACCGACAATGGTAAGACTCATTAAAGTATACGCTCACTTTATACTATCAATTTCAGGTATGTAATAAAATCAAGAGAAAATTACTTTTAAAAATTGATTAGTACAGTGCCTTAGCTGAGCCATTTTTCCATTGTAAGAGGAGAAATAGTATATTTTCTGTTGGTGTTAAATTGTGACCACTAGGAAGTTTCTAGAATTCAAAAAACCTTAACACTCCTTTCTTGTTAGTTACTTTTGGTATAGAAAAATTTACAGGTGGATCTTCTTTTATGGTGCATATGATTATTGGAATTCTTTGTGTTTGCTTTTGATATAAATTCATGCAAATGGACATTCTTTCAGGGTGTGGGTAAAACAGTAGTGGTGTTTTCAGTATTTGGGGTGGCAGATGTGTGGTATTCACTCATCAGTATGATTGTAAATACTTAGGTTAACATATGTCTTTTCCTAGTAGGTTAACATATTTCTTCTCAAAGAAGCATGTAATTCAATAAACATGTTGTTGAAGTTTGTAGTGGAATTAATAGTTTGTTGGGTCATTTGCCACTGTTGTTTTAAAAGTAGGTGTTGATTGTATGAAAAATTGGTTCTGAAAATTTAATATTTTGGAAAACAAATGTGAGGTTATTAGCAAATAGAGAGATGTAGAGAGAAATGGAAGGACTTCTGTGGGGTACTTTGAAGATCTAAGGTGTAATAACTGGACTGATGATTGCTATGTTGTACATGATAAGATATTTCCTGTATAGTGAGTAAAATATGAAGTTTTGCTGACTATAAGGCTGAATCTCAGTGTGTGTAGCTATTTAATGTCATAAAGATGTATTATTTTGCAACGTGTTTCAGTACTACTGAACAAAATGGTATTTAGGGAAAAGAAATTCCTTCAACTGTGTTGTGTCCAAGTTTGTGTGTTTCTGTCCATGCATATGCATGGATGTGCACATTCTAGAATTTCAGATATTTTTCTTTCAAATATATAACATTAGTTTATCATTGGTGTTGTTTGTGAAGAATATATAAGAAACAGAACTTATAACTTGAACTGTATGAGCATAGAATGAACCTAGAAAACAAATATACTTACAAGATGATTGAAAACATACATGTTGTGTCTTTGCTTAGAAATGCTTGAGAAGAATTTATTACTTAGCCCCAACTTCTAGGTCATCTTATGTTCCCCTAAGTAACAGAATTCAATCACAGATCACCATTTTTAATATTATTAAAGGGGATGATATGGGCTGCAGTGTTTTATGCCCCTCCTTGACAATCAAACTTCTCTAGGATAAATAGAAGGTAGAAATAACTATAGAACTAGCATGCCTGGCTTATAACCCAAACCAGACCCTCCCACAAACAGTGGCCAAAGATTTTCTAACTGTAATACCATAAATAGATTTGCCCATTATACTTTATAATAATCGTTCCAGTGCTCTTATTATGGGTTAGAATGAACTAAAGGTGTGTGTTATTCATCTTTCCCTCCCAAGAAAGGAGGATAGCCACCCCCTTTCTTTTGTGGAGAATTAGCAATGGTATTGATTGACTCTCATCAGAGGGACAGACATCTATTTTACTTGTTCAAACCAGCAATCAGAGCATCTCCTTTTCACATAAATATCTGCACCTCTCACATCTACTGTCTCACAAAATTAATATTGAAAAGTACTGTGCTTTTCTCTGTTCAATGGGAAATTATTTCTAATAGAATAGAGAAAATTGAAATTTTATTATATTACCCCAAATACCTTAATCAATATGCTGTTCAACAACTGGGCTTTCTGTTAAGCTAATCACTGCTAAAGGTATTTTAGGTTACTATGTAGGCCACTGAAAACAACCCTGATTCGCTAGAGCCCTAGGAGAGCTAATTCACACTCATTTGGTCTGAAATTACACTTCAAAGGAAGGTGGCCATGACTATGAGACCAGCAAGTGTCATATCCAAATTTAAAGGACTACAACAATTAGAAGAGGTTTTCAGGGCAACAGTGTATTCTCTGTGGTCTATGAAAGTATGGCAAGGCAGGCTTTAACCTGGGATAGTCTGTTTTTGAGGAAACTGTAACTGGGTACATATTGTAAATACAATAATTTACAGAGGGGTGTAACTCTATTAAGGACAAAAAGCATTGAAATACTTTTTGTCATTGATTTTAAATTTGTAGGGACTATAACCCACAGAACAGGTTTGTACCAAAGGTATAGGTTATAATAACCACTCAATATGGTTCAGATTTCAGCAAAGCTCAGCCATGGGATATCCTTCTATGAAACTGCAATATCTGTTGGATTCCAAGCTATGAAAAAATAGTTAAGATTCAGCCTAATTTGCAAAGGTTTAAAAGAATCCCACGCCTCACATGCAAGGTGGGAGGGATGGAAAAGCAAAACTGATCCATTTCATATCCCAATATGTATAGGATAAGGCTTCCTTAAATTTTGCCAGGTGTTCTCAGTCTGAAAAAAATTACCTAGACCTGCTTGTTATATTCTTCCTTAACCTTATCTTGCCTCTCCCAACCCCCAGGCCACTTGTCACTTCTGAACTAACTAGCTCCCAGCCTGTTTCTTACACAGGGAACTGGTACTTCTCCATGGTGGTTTACTAAAAGCTTGACACACAACTAGCTACCGTGTGTCTTCTTTAAAATAGGTTATATAGACACCTGGGAAGATGGCTTAGTTGGTAAAATGGTCATTGCATAAACATGAAGACCTTAATTTGTATCCTGGGACCCATTGAAAAAGCTGGGCATGGTGATAGGTGTCTGCAGCTCCAGACTTAGTAAGCAAAGAGAAGCAGATCCCCGAGGTTGGCAGCTAGCCAGTCTAGCAAAATAAGGCAGCTTCCTACTCAGAAAATTAGCCTGTCTAAAACGTGAGGATAGTAATTGAGGAATGCACTCAATGTCATCCTCTGGCTTCCACAAAAATGCAACACACACACACACACACACACACACACTCATACACACATGCACACACATGCACATGTACATGCACACCATCTTAACCTGTGCATATATACTTTTTAAAAAAAGGGTTCTCTTGCACAGCACAATTAAACAGAAAATGGAACATTCTGACCTGTTCTCCTCCCTCCTACTGTCAATCAGCTTCCTCCTCCAGTGACTTCATCTTCACTCAATCCATGATTTGCTTTAGGTTTACTCCTGGTGGATGCAGTCTGTGGATGCTCACAGTTACACCATGACCTGTACCAGCCATCATGTTTCCATTTATAATGCTTTCATTGTCCTAAGTCCCCCATGCCTAGCCAACCATCCCTGTTTGCTAACTCATAACCACTGATCTTCCTGTCCCATGTTTGCTATGTGTCCAAAATGTCATGTAGTTAGGATCATGTGGTATACAGCCTTTCCATGGTGACCTTTTCTGCTCAAATATATTCTTTCTAACTTAATATCTTACTTTTCATAGCCTGGTAGCTTATTTCACCTTAGCATTGAATTAACCTCTATTTCAGTGAAAACTATGCTGACCCTGATTTTACCACAACATTGCCACATTCACATAGAGTGCTAGATTGTACCAGACAATCATAAAACTTTATCTAAAGAAACAGAGCCTGCGTCTTTTTATTATTATTAAATTTTTTATTCATTTTACATACCAGCCACATTTCCCCCTCCTTCCCCTTCTCCTTCTCCCTCCTCCACCTTCCTCCAGTGCCCGACCCCATCCACTCTTCCAAAAGGGCAAGGCTTCCCATGGGGAGTCAACAAAGCCTGTCACATTCAGTTAAGGCAGGACCATGAGCCTACCCCTACACTGAGGCTGAGCAATGTATCCCACTATATGGAACGGGCTCCAAAAACCAAGCTCATGCATCAGGGATAGATCATGATCCCACTGCCAGGGGTCCCATAAACAGACCAGGCAATCCAACTATTGCCCACATATCTTACATATCAACTTCACAAGTGAGTTATTCATTTACATTAGTATAGAAACACATCTTTTATGTATCCACCATTCCCCCAACTACAAAAATGTGCCTTTCAGCCTTGTTGGGAGTAAGAAACGGGCATTATATGAGACTGACATATCTGCTATGGTTGCTCATTTATTATACAGATGCATATGCTTAACTTCTATATTTTTCAAAATCATGTTTATTTTATCTTTACTTACATTGCATGTGTGTGCATGCACACATGTTTTGGGTACCCACAGAGACGAGAAGAGAGTGTTAGATGCCCTCCAGTTGTAATTACAGGTGTTTGGAGCTGCTCAAGTATAGGCACTGTGAACTGAACTCCAGTCCTCTGTAAGAATACTATACCCATGTTAGCTGCAGAGCCATGTCTATAGCCCTAATTCTGTACATTACTAATAACAGAACATCATATTAGATTTTCTAGAGGGATATAAGGGAATTTATTTTATCTTTCCCTTTCACATTCAAACACAACTGTTGTGAACTTCTTCCATCTTTAAATAAACTTCCATTTAGATTTCAAAAGAAGAGTACTAAATATATTCTGCTAGAAAAGAATGTGACAATAGAAATGTTACCTGAATCCATCCACATATATAGAGAGAAATGATAGATACATATATACATGCATACATGCATACATACATACATAATTTGAATGTTTTTTTTCATTGGACTGTGTCCTTATGGTCCAAATAAAATAATAGACATTCAAGTTGTGGTCAGTATTCCTTTAGGATTTTCTAAGAGAAAGGTGTCATTCAGCCTTGAATGATTATAAAATAACATGTAATTATGGGGATATATTCTCTAAAGCACAATTACCAGAGAGCATGTGATATAAAATGTGTCTTTGTGTGTGAACAAAGGATGACACTTCACATGTCATTTCATTTATTAGAGAAAATGATCTATTTCACAGTCAAAAACTAGCTGACATGCAGGAGTCAAGGGCCTTTTTCCATAAATGAGGCTTCAGTGTAGTATCTGATATTGAACTGCCCTTCCACCTTTGAGTAGCCTGT